GGGGCGAATACTTTTCAATTTTAAAGCCGATGTCCCGAGTCGAAATAAAAATGGATCTCGATTCCAATCTTCTTGGTTATACTAGAGGAAAAGAAAAAGAGATACGTGCCCCGACGTTTGATTGAATAGGCCTCAGTTTCGGAGTGACACATTTTTTTTTATAAACTATGTAAGTTAAACGACAAGCTCGATGTTCCCGAGTAAATACTTCATTATAAATACGTACATGAATAAATTTTATATATATATATATATATATACAGGGTGTCCCAAAAATGTTAGAGGTCCTTGAAAAGGGTGGTTCAGGGGGTGATTTGAAACAACTTTTTCCTTAGCGAAATTGTTGTCCGAGGCTTCGTTGAGGAGATATTAACGGAAAACACTGACCAATCAGAGCGCGCGGATACCGTTGGAGCGGCCGCGATAGCGATGGCTACGCGCTAGGTAGCTGCTCTCGTACGCGAACAAGTGACTCGACGTGCATCGAAGGATATTGACGCGGCCGCTCAGCGCGTAGCCTTCGCTACCGCGGCCGCTCCAACGGTATCCGCGCGCTCTGATTGGTCAGTGTTTTCCGTTAATATCTCCTCAACGAAGCCTCGGACAACATTTTTGCTAAGGAAAAAGTTGTTTCAAATCACCTCCCGAACCACCTCTTTCAAGGACCTCTAACATTTTTAGGACACCCTGTATATATATTTATAGCGAAAAATTTATTTGGAGACGTCAAACCTAGTATTTAATTTCGACAAATTTTTTAACACGTATAAAGGGTAGGAATATTTATAGGACTGGCTGTGTGTATATATATATATATATATACATATACGAAATAGAGTTTAAGTTTACGATTTTCAAGTAAAATTCCTTTAGTTGAACGAAATTCCGTCCATCTCTGGTAGAAAGAATCCCTACGGACGTTCGTGTAAGAACAGTTAGATCCGCGCTTCCTTTCAAACCGATGGCGTACAGAACAAAGCTTGGTCGTAGCGACCCCGTTAATGGAATCTGCAATTTAGCAAATAGCCTTAGTCGCGACGATGACTTTTTCTGGGATTCAATGAGTTCGTGTAGACGGTACATCAGCGGAGCAGTGATCGTGATATACTCGAACGCATTGTTTCTAACTAATTGCGTGTGGATAACGATTAGAATTTTCGGTACGATTTCATATTATTTTGTGACTTTGAATTGGCTGTTCTATATTTACGAGTTTCTTGGAAGCGAGCTTTCGATTAATCCACCGTTGATGTTCCTAGATTGCGGAACAACTAAATAGATACCTAAATAAATAAACAACAGGCTACGGGAAGCAGACGGACGCTTAAGTTTCTACGGGTTTAATATAACTGATTCGCCGGGGCGCATAAAGTATTAATATTTTATCGTTTCCCAGGAAGCTTATTCTATTTTCAGCCGAGTATTTTCTAATTTCACTAGCGGGAACGTTTCGAGGTAGACTAATACGCTATCGGGTGCTATTAAAGTAGAACCTCCATCGCCCGCGAACGAATGAAGAAATAAAAGGGTTCGAGGAAGCTTATCTTACCGAGCACGTGTTTTTAGAATTGTTTCAAAGTCTAATCTCTAATCAAACATCAGTATAGACAAAAGCAAAGAATATAGAAGTAATATACATTTTGTTCAAGGATATCGCGATAAAACTTCTCGATATAGAGTGTTTTTCTTTTATTTTCCAAACTATAAATAAACAAAGCTTTGTTGCTCTTTGTCCTTACGGAGTATTAAAGGCAGAAAGGGTCGAATCGATATCTCCGCTAAACTCGAGCGATAAATGTATTCGAATCGTTTTTTAAGACATTTGTCAAGATTAAACTCCGAACTTCGTACGAATTTTTCCACCGGCTCGAAAATGTTTACTTCCGACTGGCTATTTTAGCTCCAGCCGATCAGGAAAAGGAAAGAAGATGACGCGTTTCCGTCGGACGATATCGGAAACGATTCCCTCGCAACGGATCGATAAAAACACGTCCGTGATTTCATTAGAAACGTCGCCGAACAGTTACCGCCTGTATTAGCGCAAAGTCGCTTCCGGTGTGTGTAATCGGAATTCCATTTATACCTCGTTACGGAGCATCGAACCGTGTAAAATCGTCAGGACGAACCGTTACCGCGCATTGTCGCACGGTTACTGTTCATCGGCCAGCGGATCGAGCGTCGTAGGCGCGGACGAAAAGAAAGGAAAGGTCCTCTCACGAATCCGAGCATCCAGGGACACGTCCGATGACAAAAGAATTCGACAAGCAGATAACGGTGGAAATTTCGTGGAACCATCCCGCCCGCAATCGGACACGCTTCCTCGTTACTGTTTCTCGAAAGCCGGACGAACAATTGCGTCATCGTACTGCTAATCACGATCAACGAAGGAAATTCACTTCGATTGATCAGTTATCGATCGCGTTTAGTTATAAAGAAAAGTCGACTAAATATTTTCACTAAAACTACGATTATGATACCTCTCTTAAGCTCTTAAGCTTTGGTTAGGACCAAATCAGCGAAATCATATCGGACTTTGTGGAATATTTAGTACTTATTTTTTACTAGTATCTACCACCAACAATAATTTTGTACCTCGTGGCCGTTCACGAAATAATCGTGGAGCTGCTAGCTTAATATTAATATTACGATTTTCTTGAAAACGGTAACAAGCACAAAATATTTCTTAGTGGTACGAATTAGTAGAAAATTCGGTAGTAAATATATCCGCTTCGATTTCGTCATTTATATTAATTTTTAACATTTTCAGCCGACTAGCTTAATATTAAGCTAGCAGCGCCACGATTTTCTTGAAAACGGTAACAAGTACAAAATATTTTTTAGTGGTACAAATTAGTACAAAATTCGGTAGTAAATATATCCGCTTCGATTTCGTCATTTGTATTAATTTTTAACATTTTCAGCCGACTAGCTTAATGTTAAACTAGCAGCGCCACGATTTGTTCGAAAAAGCCATAAGGTAGAAAATTATTGTTGGTGGTACAAATTCGTACAAAATAAGTACTAAATATTCCACCAAGTCCGCTATTATTCTGCGGATTTGGTCCTGTCAGCTTAAGAGAGGCGATTATGAGATTGAATGTAAAGGTTGAGATTGAATTTCTACACCTTTCAGGGCCTATATTATCAGCCCTACCTTTCTACCTAGAATCCAAGCCATCCGTTTTGTCGGAGTTTAAATTCGAGTTTTCAGATACCGAAATTCCCCTGGCTGTCTACTAGATCCGTTTCCTGGTTAGTGTTCTCGGCGAGGGGAATGGTTACGTTTAGTATCGTTTTACAAAACGATAGGCACACACCTACTTTTACTGGAATACGTCATGACGCGGAGCTGGCCGTCTACGTGCCGCCGCGTAGCGATTTATCAGCTGGTATAAATAAACGGCGAGAGCAGTTCGAGCCAATTCATGAATGACTGACTGCCGCTGCGCGGTCTGCCTCCGGAGATTGGGCAAAATTTTATTCGAATAACAGATGACGAATGAATCGCTGTACAGCGATTTATTCGCGACGTTTATAAGAGTCGTGCGGATCAGTCTATGTACGAGTACAACTTCGCTCTATAATTCGATCGAATGTTATTATATTAGCAACAGTTACGCAGAACTGATTGATGCAGAGCTGATTTTACGTAGCATAAAATCTGCGGTCTACCCAATTCGTTCGTTCGTATATTCGATCGCGCGGATCGATTGTGGAATAACTAAAGAAAGTATGTGAACATTTTTTCCAAGAACACGGGCTTCCACGTAAAGCAACGTCAGAAACGTGATAATGATAACGATGACCGAATACGTGAGCTTCGTATCGCGGGCAAACGTTAAGTGAATTAACGTTATCGCGAAAGAAAACGAAATCTTGTATTACATATTTTTCTTTTTCTTTCGCCTATCTCGTGCGTGTAATTGCAGAGGTCGCTAATAAACGATAAAACGTATCGCGCGAGTCCTTACCGTGACATTGTGAATTTATTATGAAAACAATAGAATAAAAGAATCCGCTATTCATGCCTGACGACTTGCGAGAAAACAGGTTATGTTACAGGCTATTCAAAAGTAGACGAATACGGAGCTTCTCGAGGACATAAATACAGTACGTAATATCGTAACAGAAATGGAGCAAAATGAATCAATTCAATTCATAGTCAATTCAATAATTTAACATTAGACATAAAATATTGTGTACGTATTACTTATTAATAAAACGAAAGAAACTTTTGGGACAACCTAATATTTGCACTAGAGCCTCCTTAATGATATTCTTTCGTTTTCGCGAGATTGGTATATCTTGTAGCATCGTCAGATTAATATCGGTATGAGTAACAGATGACAAAGGTGTCCCTTGTCATGGAAGAATTAGAAATAACCCGTATACGGGTGACGGTGCTTTTCACTGAAGAACAAACAAAATTAATTTCGAATGTTCAGTAACAAAGAAAATAAATACGAATGAAATTCTTAAACCTCAACGAACCTATAAAAATAAATCCCACAATAATTGTTTGATTACGTAGCTTCCAATAGCCTAGAAACAAAACTTAATCACAATAGAAATTTTTAAGTGTATCAGAAAAGAAATAATTCGTAACGAATATGTAAAATGCAGGCTAGGTCTAGTTCTCGCGAGAATCGTATCGTTTGTTTCTGGGCACCCGGTATATGGGGTTCGCGCGTGAAAAAGAACGCTTCCGGCGGATGAAATACATTTCGCGTACGCCGTCAGCTGCACACGAGCCGACACGTCCCGGTTTTCGGTTACGCGATAGGTAATGTCAATATCAATGAGACGCGCAGCCGTTTTTAGGTTAGGTGTGCGCACGTGCGAGGCTCACAGGCGCGCGTTTATTATTCGTTTTTACGCACACGTCAGGGTCGCGAGTCGGCAACACGCGGCGGTCAGGTGTGTCCTGTTTACACGATTCAAAGGACGAGAGAAACGGAAGGAGAAAAAAATTGATCGTTCAGGGGCTGGATGGTACGCACCTGATACCGAAGCTTTCTTTCCAGAACTCGGCTGCATCCGCTTTCGTGATGCGGAACTTGTGTCCGGCGAACACACCGCTGGGAAAGATGGCCTTCAATTCGGACAGCATGTGGCTGAAGACTAGGCTGAGCTTCGTCAAGTTCCTGCGATAGTGGGAAGTCTCGTCGAACATCTTCTCCTTGCCTTCCTTGAACAACTTGATCGCTTGTTTGCACTTCCGCATCAGATTGTTGATGAACACGCAGAAGTGTTCGTTACTATGCAACACCTGCATCCTGTCCTCGTATTTGCTATAGATCAGTCTGAGCCGCTGATACGTGTCGGGCAGGATGTCGAGGATGAACGGCGGCGAATTTTTCAAATTCATCCGTTGATGTTGACACAGTTTCACCACCTTGTCCATCAACTTCCAGGTTTTATCCAACATCCGTTTGTCGGTGGAGAGTTTCGGCAGTGTCATAGGGTCGGCGAAACGACCGTGGAGCTTCTGAAATATCGAACCTATGTGCACGGCTCGCGTACGACTGCTGTGTCCTCCCGACGACATCTTGACGTGCGCGTGCATATCCCTCCGACACCGGGACTCCCTGGTGGTTGGTGCTCGCCTTCGTAAGCGAGTCCCCGCGCACTCTTTCCACTTACACCGTCGAAACAATCACCGACAACAAGCCTCGCTTAGGTTAGCCTGGTCTGCACTCGCGCGATACGATATACCGCATTTCCCTTTTAGCGAGACTCGTCCACTACCTCGACGACCTTCTCACGAAGTCGCGGCCACGAGATGTACCATAACGTTACGCGATACCGCATCCTAGTCTTTGCTACACCGTACCGACAACAGCGGACAGCTACAACGAATCGACACTGACACGACCAAGCGTGCCCGTGGCTCGTTAATTATGCTTTCCCCTGCGTCCACGTGACGCTTGATGGCGTTAGTGTAGCGCGCTCTATTTGAATTTCTCGCGTCGCGGTCCCATCGAGAATGTAAACAAACGATAATTTTTTGCGAGACAAATTCGCCTCGTAATGACGCATGTTTGGTCGAGAAAACGCAGGATGTCGTACCGTTGAGGCTGAAAGAACGAATATACCGGTAAAGCAAGACGAACGTGTATTTCCATATACGCTTTTATAATACAATAATTTTAACATTATACATACAGAATGTTTGACGGTGTAACGAATAAGTTAGAAATATAAAAGAGGGTATTGAAATTAGGGTGAAGATAATTATTAAATCATTTAATTAAATGTATAAATTGGAAACCTTCGTATACCTATAATTATACAAAATTATGCATAACTGTGCCGGTTCGAGACATCGTACTTGGTTTATACTTCGTTTACCTCGACTGTTATGTTTCGCGAAATACCACGTTATCTTGTATCGACTAACGATGAAACGATACGGACGAACGTTTTTTGTATGTTCATTGTTTCCTAATACTTTTCTTGAAACGTTTACCATCGAAATCGAGTTCCTTCTCTTTATTGCTCTGTATTTCGTTTAATTCGTTATACATTGAACTTTTCTTGGCAAGTTTAAGTGGAACTCGTTCTACTGATTGAAAGAAGTTTCTTGTACTATTTGTTTTGTAATTCGTTACTGATGTCGATATTCTGATCTACTATTGATACTTAAGTTTCGACAGTCTTGTTCCTACCTGCGCTTGCAATTAAAATATAGGCTACCTGCCATCTAATCGAATCTCCATTGTAATAATGTGAACGTGCTGTCACCGATTTCTTAAATAATAACTTAATCGTAGTAAGATGAAGCTCGCCATTAAGAACCAACTCGCAGGCATCGACGCCAGAATACAGTACCTCTCATCTGAAACATTAGACAAATATTTTCTTTTGTAGTATCAACAAAACTCGCAAGTGCGACTAGACATTCGACGTTCATAAATTTACCTGTCATTTGATCGGACATCTTAACTTCCGCCCAGCCCAAACTTCTTTCGACTGCCATCTTCCATTTTTTATACCTAGCATTTCTCTCTGCGAACAGAAAGTACTTTTACGTATAGTACTATAAAAATACGCGAATTAAGCAGATCAATTTTAAACGTATTCACCTTCTGGGGTTGTCGTTGGCAAAAATGTATCCGTCGACACCGTTTCTACTTCTTCGCCCTCGAGTTCCCAAACTCCTATGCCTTCCGCGCAACCTGCTGCCATCGCTGCTCCTAACGCTGTGATGTCTGGCATAGTTGACCTGACTGTTAAACGAGAATACGACGATTAACGTATGATTCAATTTGTGTTTCGATGATGCCGCGTAAAGAATACTTACATACTGGTGTACCGCAAAGATCTGCTTGCAATTGCATAAGAAGATTGTTGGTCGACATTTTCCCATCCGTTTGTAACTTGGTTAATGGAAAACCGCAGTCTTTGTTCATAGCTTCTAAAATATCTCTCGTTTGGAAACAAACAGCTTCCAACGATGCTCTTATTATATGTTGTTTTGTGGTGTATGCGGTTAGACCACAAATAATTCTGCGTAAGATATATATACTCGCTTAAGAATCCGCTGTTGAAGGTATGCAAACGAAAACCACGGAAAACATTACCTACCCTCTAGCGTCCCGTCTCCAATATGGAGCATACAACCCCGTAAAAGCAGGCACGAAATACACATCACCGGTGCTAAAAACAGTTTCAGCTAGATGCTCGCTTTCGTGGACATCCTTTATGAGCCTCAAGTTATCGCGTAACCATTTAATAGCAGCCCCAGCCACCGCAACCGACCCCTCCAGCGCATAGACCGCCGGACTATGAGGACCGAACTGATAGGCCACCGTTGTGACTAATCCATGCGATGAGTAGACCCTCTAAACAAATTTTTTTAAATACATTAATATGTAAATAAGCGAACAAACTAATTAGAGTATTTTTAAAAATGAAATACTCACCGTTGTTCCTGTGTTACACAGCAAAAAGCACCCACTCCTGTACGTGTTTTTCGCTTGGCCTCTCTTTAAACAATTCTGACCAACCAACGCAGACTGTTGATTTCCTAAAATCTGATAGCAAATAACGTAGTATAGTTCACGCTTCTTTCAATAACTCCCTAATCAATTCTACGAAGACACTTACACCGGATATAGGTATACCCTTTAACGGTTCGATAGCGATCTCCCCGTAAACTTCGGCGCTGCTCCGGATCTCTGGTAATATTTGTATAGGAATGTCGAAATATCTGCACAACGTGGGATCCCACGATAGGGTTTCTATGTTCATTAACATGGTCCTCGAGGCGTTCGTTACGTCGGTGATATACAATCCGCCGTCTTTGCCACCGGTTAAATTCTGCAACCATTCTTCAATGAATTCTCCGACGACACCAAACTCACGTTCGTGTATCGTTATTCCTCTCGCTGCTAGGTAGAGTCCATAGACGCGCCATACTCACGTACCCAAACGATCCACGTGTCCATTGTGCCCACTTTACATCGTTTGTCGCGTATCGCTTTTCTTACCGCGGGCACGTTATCTTTCAACCAGCGAATCTTCAACGCCGAGAAGTAGGGGCTAACTGGCAAACCGCACATCGGCTTGATGTGATTCTTACTTTGATCGGGGAACTTTGCGACTATTTGATCGACGATCGAAGCGGTCCTTATATCGGACCACACTGAAACGTAACGAGAACATCGATGAGACGATGAACGACGATCTTGAACGTTTCATCTTCAAAATTAATTAATTTTATTCCTAAATGTTCTGTCATCCACATATGAGCTACGTGGCGATCAACGTGTTAAATGTTATTTAAACTATTGGAGACTACGTAATCAAATATTTTTAAATAAAGTTTTTGAATAAAGTGAAGTCTCCAGAAATGCACAAGCTCGGGTCCTCTTCTTTATTCGCTGTCCTTGTCTAGGTTCGAAGCTCGCCGGCAAACGTCAGACTATACATATACGATCATGTTACATTGCTCGGCGATCGAACTTCTGGACCCCTCAAGGGGTATACCACCTAGTGGTGGGGACAGTTTCTGTGCATTTATGGTAGAGAAAAACCTCTCTTGTGCATTTATGGTAGAGAAAACCTCTCTTGTGCATTTATGGAGACTTTACTGTATTATTATTCTCGGCACACACCTATCGCGTTATACAACGGTTCGCCGGTGGTCGTATCCCACGCCATGGTTGTTTCCCTTTGATTCGTGAGACCGACCGTCACCATCTCTTCAATTTTCAACCCGAGCACGTCGAATTTCCGCACGACGTCCTTGATGCACGCCTTCACCGCGAAAAGGATCTCCTTCGGATCCTGTTCCACCCATCCTTCCTGAGGACAGATTAGCTCTACGTCGATGTTGTGCGACGCCACTTCCGTCACGTGCTTCGCGTTGAATACCTGGTAGGACACAACGGAACAATTTTAACTCTTATATTTACGGGACACTTAACACGTTGACCACCGGACAAATATTCTTGAAAATCGCTGCCGGTATTAACGCGCTCGCTGGCAAACTATTCGTGAAAATTTATATGAAGTTATCGCTTCGTAGAAACTTATTTCCGTTGAATTTAAACATGTACTTGCGACATGTATTTTTGCGATTTTCCAAAATTCGCGAATCCTACGGGGATTTATTTTCTCGAACGTTCATTTTCAGAAGTAAAAGTTCTGTCATCCACGTGCGAGCTAGGTGGCGATCAACGCGTTAAATATTATTTAAACTATTTAAGACTGCGTAATCAAATGTTTATCTCGGTATTTATTTCCGTGACTTCGTTGATATTCGTGAATTTCGTATTTTTTAACCTTTGATGTTTGAATTTCAGAGTTAATTTCTTTTAGTTGTTTAGTGAAAAGTACCGTCACCCGTGACACGATAACGGCGATTGTTTTAATATACATAGTCCTGAGAGACGGAACTTGACTTGTCCGTATCCGTTTCTAGGACACTCAGCTGAACCGAAAGATAACGGGGTAATTGGACGGATAGCGTAAAAGTAAACAATAAGACGTTAGCGTTTGTAGAATAACAAAGTCCAAAGTGAAAATTAACACGAGCGGGTATATAGTTTACTGTGACAATGGCTCACCACAAAGCGAACGGTCCGCGTGCCGACGTCAATTACTCCGATAAGGGGCCCTGGTTTCTTCGACGAGCTTGGCATTGTGTCTGAAAAATAAACACAGCCTTTGAACACATGCTGTCACGAACGCTGACGACTTTTTCATATATTCTATAGATTTTCCACGTAACGAGAAAAAGAAAAAGCCAACGGACACTGTCGAGTTAATTTCGTTTCGACAAGAATTCGGCAACGGCGAAACTCACATTCTGGCATTCGTCCGTTAAACGTTCTTCCGACCGATCGAAACAATATTCCCATCCGTTTTCATATCGAACGTCCGAAAATGCGAGCCTGTTATCACGACCGTTCTGTCTCTCGACTAATTCTTGAGAACGTAGGTTTCGCTTTACATAAAGTCCCATTTAAGCAATCCCGTCGCACTCGTGCCATGATCATAGAAAAACTGATGACATAACGTGCGGTATTTTTCGCTATCGTGCTTTGTTAAGCTCTTCGATGACCCGCGCGTGGGTTGAAGCGATAATGGGAAAATTACAGATGAGCCTATCATCAAGATACACGATTCGCGAGGCTACTTTCACGAAACTCCGATACGAGCAGCGAACGTGTTCGGAACGTCCGGACCTTCCAGCGGTCCGTGTCCGTTTCAGTTTCGGTCCTGGATCGTCGAAGAGCACTCTACCTAAGTGCAACGATTGCGATGCGAGCGCGAACTTGCACGCTCGCGCATCGACGAATGCACTTTGATCGGTTTGCGGGGCCGTTCCACGTCAGATCGATCGCTTCGACGTCGGGGATTTTTATTGTGAC